GAGCTTCTAGGGCTGTTCGTCAAGTATTCATAAAAAGTCGATGGTTCAATATTTTTCAAACAACTTCCGTCAAAATTCATCAAACTTTTCCCTCAAAAAAAAAATATATCTTATATCATGAGGATTCTGGTGACCTTGATTGAACTGATTTGGTCGTGGTTTATTACATCGACTGATTAATATATGAAATTCAAATATAAGGCTTCAAATTGAAAAGTACATATCTACTATTCTTCCTAGACACGTATATAAAAGCCTAATGTTTTCGGTATGTACTTAGATCGAGTAGACCTACTCACTGTCACACAATATGGTTAATCGTAAGTTGCAAAAAACAGTATGAATTGGGAGTTACTCTTATATTTCAACCATTTTGGATGATAGTGGATGTTCGTACAACCAGATCGGTGAGCTCTATTTACCAGAGATCGTCACAGGGCAGAATAAAAGAATTTGTCCAGTGCCTATAAACAAAAATCAAAAAAAAACTGATTCTATGCGAATTTGTCTAATTGGAAATCGATTGATTTGGTACTGTTTTAATTCTATTTTAATCAAATTATTTTATGTTCACTCTATTGTGTTAGCATGAAATTGATTTAAAAAAAAACAAGTCTATTCAATTAAAAATATTGTTCTTTTTTTAGACAGTTTAATTTAACAGAAATAATTCTACAAAATTCAGTATAATAGACTCAAAAATTGGGCTATTATTTGAGTAATTCTAATAATCGACATATTCTTGTTGTTTACTAGTAATAGAATCAAAGAAACAAATAATATATCCCTCAATCTAATCTTGTATAAAGTACCGATTCTAATGATAGAAATCTAATGAAAGTTTTATGGCTTTTTCCATAGACAACTCTTAGATCTATTTAAGACTTCTATAAATTTCTGAGAAAAGAATGGTCTTTTCTCCAGATATCAATTTCACACAAAGTAACTAGGTTTTCCGTACTTTTGATGATATATGATGCTATTTAGTTGATTTGATATCTCGAGAAGAGACCAGTCTTTTTTCCCGAAACTCTTAAGAAATTCTAATGATTTGAAGCGCTACCTATGAGCGAAGTTTTATGCCAACATTCGATTGTCTGTGTTTTTAATGACTATTATGCAAAAGATAAAAATTCAAGTGTAACAGCCATAGCTTCCAAAGAGCAGTACATGGGTGAACAACCCTCCTGAATTTCTTTTGTTCTCAACGGATCCCACCTGATGAATGGAGTCTCATCTCAAAGATGAATTATCAGTTATGTAGTGTCTGGTCTGAAATGAATTAATGCTTTGTTTTTAATAAATATTTCAAGCTATGAATAATGAAGACTTAATGTTCAAAACCTTTTTTTTCTTACTGAAATGTTGGTAGTTTATAGAGAAGTAAAATATTCAGAAGTAGAACTCTTTCTATAAGAATAATGTAAAATGAGAAACTAATTCATCTATCTATCAAGTCATTATTCGTCTCCTATTGAATTTATCAAAAAGAATGATTATATCACTGACATTTTCGCAGGCAAGTAAACTGACAATATTTCATTGAGTGTCGTATTAAAGAAGAACGTGTTTATCTGTCCTTATTGATAATACTGATATTTTGTGCTTGAATCTGTATCTCAACATTAAAAAGTTCAAATTGTTGCCTCAACAATAATCATCCAGGTTAATGATGATATTAAGCTCGGACTACTTCGGTTGAAACCGATCTCTTCAAGACCTAAAATGTTACTTTACCTAGACGAATTATAAAAAAACTTGATAAGAAGTAGTGAACCATTCGAACTATCAATTTTGATGGCACATTGATCACATTGATTCTGCTACCTACTGGTCTTTCTCTGCTAGAACATCGTTTCACAGATAATTTGATTGATTTCATTAAATTGAAGTCAGTTTGTTTTTGTTTAAGTTCTTTATTTTATTCTTTTAGGTCATTGTAATGCTCAACTTCAATGACAATAAGTTTTTTTCGCCCTTTTTTAAGCATATATATGTATTTTCATTTAATTTTTAGGGATCAGTATTTATGTAGGTGTGTGTTTGGATGTGACCGTGGGTATAGGTGTGAGTGTGGGGGTGGGGGGGTGGTTGTAAATGGCCTCTTTACATTCTTCTCTCCCATCCCACACCCACACTCCAAAATCAATCCATGTCCAAAAAACCACTTTGAAAAACACTCACATCACCAGAAAAGGCATAAATTTCAGGTTTATAGCACAATTAAGTGACTTTTCAAAAAGGACGTGATCAGTTTCTTTTGTCGTTTGGGGTTTCCTTTCTTTCTTTTAAACTAAATGATAATCTTGGGATCCCTCCTTGATCACG